CACAGAGAAATAAATACAAAAAAGTCTTTTAAAATCATTAAATTAATCTGAAGTTTTAAGAAATTCATTGTAATCTGTAAGAGATTTCACTTGTTTAATTACTAAACTGCCCTTGTCTTCTTCTTTTTTCAAATTATCATTTTTTTAGCAGTATGCGTTGATAACTGAAAAGGCAGTTGTTAATAACTTATTGTGCAACAATTAACAACTATTACAGTAAATATTAATAACATATTTTCTCAACACACCACAGGATTTCAAATTAAATATGCTTATGTGATGTACTGACAAAATGTGTTATTAATACCTATCACGGTATATCGCGATAATTATTAATTATTACACATTAAGTTGTTAACAATTATCCTTTTAATTATCAATGCATGTTTGAAAAGAAAGATGAAGGTGGTTGAATAAGTGGAATCTCTTATAATAAAGTCCATTAAAATTTCAGATTAATTTAATAATTTTAAGAGTATTTTATTTTTATTGAGTGAAACCTTAATGTAATTTTTCCTAATAGTTTTGGTTGTGATTTAAGAAAGGGATACAAGACATGCCAAGGGCAGCATGCCATAACCACTTAATGCTACTTATAGATATATAATTGCTAATATATGAGGGATGTAAAAAGCCCTCATTCGATACCAAAATTAATAGATATGGATTTTTATTTGGATTAGTATTATTCTTAAGGATTAATATAATTTTTGGTTTCTTAAATTTGTTATTATTTTTATTTTAGTCTATCAATTCTTAAATTATAGGTTTTGATCCCTTTAAAAGATAAAATAGGCTAAGTATTTATTGAATTATAGAGGTTAATGTTTTAAATTTAAAAAAAATCTCAAGGTACCAAACCTATGATTTTTAATTCAAGAAACCAAAACCAAAATGAGAGCAAACTTGAGAGACCAAAAATTAGGAAAAAAAATTGGTCAAGTTGCTTATATCTATTATGTCAAGTTCTCTAATTACATGTGGACATGTATTCTTTTCTGTTTCATGTAAATTTATAATTAAATGTTATTAAATTAAATGCTAATATTTCAAAAATAAAACATATGATTATATATGATTGGAGAATTTGACATAACAAATATAAATAATTTGATGTAAGTATTGTCTCAAAACTTATATTAACCCTATTCTTAATAACTATTGTCGTCAATGGTTAGCTCATTTTCAATTATTATCGAAACTAAATAAAGATAGCTCTTTTAAAATATTTTTTATGCACAAAGTTCAAGTATTTTCTCCTAGTGAACTAAGTCAATATTAGTTAATTTGTTGTCAATTTTTTTCTGAAGTTAGAGATTAATTGGGGGGAAAAAAATACGCCTACCTGTTCTCTCTCTTCATATATGACTTTAATGAGATGAGATGAGATGAGATGGGAAGTAAGCATGGAAAGAAATGCTTTGGCCAAAGATGGAAGAAAAATAATGTTTGGAGTACATGTAAAATGAAGGAAAAAAATATTGTGCGATGTTTGGTACCACAAAAGGAATGAAAACAATTTAAAAGCGGACATGGAAATTTTATCTTATAAAAAAATGGGAGAATAAAAAAAATTAAAACTATTAATGACAATTCTGGTATGGTAACAAACAATGCTTTAATAGGCGACAACACTAGACTTATAAATAACAACACATTTTGTAGAAATTCTTTATTTGAGATTTAGTGATTTCAAATTTTTTATATGATTCTCCCAAGAAATGCATGTTTAAATCTTTAAAAAAAATATAATTTTCTTAACATTAATTTTTTATGGGTCAGTATAATGCTTAGTTTTTCAAATTTATTCTCATTTTGATTTTGGTCTCCCAAATTTCAAACAATAGCTTTTGGTTTCTCAAGGGATAAAATAGTTCAGGTTTTTGTTGAATTATAAAAACCATTATTTTAAATAAAATAAAACTTAAAGGATCAAAATCTATAATTTAAAATTTAAATAACCAAAATTAAAATGAGAGTAAATTTGAGGCACTTAAAAATTGTATTAACCCTTAACATAGGTTTGTCATTTTACATTGATTGCATTTTTAACCAACATAAAAAAAAGTCAAATTTATTATGCGAATATATAAATAATTTTTTAGTAGTGTTGGAAAAAAAATTAATACTCCTATGATTTTATTTATAAGGTAAAGAGAGAAAATTTTTCTTCGTCTTATTTATAAGTTATTTTATTAAATTTTGGATATGAATATACTATTTTGTCATTCCTTTATTATAATGTAGCTAATTATTTTTTTGAATGGTATATATATCAAATAAAGGTAAAGTTGAAAAGTAATTATATTTTAATGAAGAGTTAATGTAATTCAAGATTTTTCTTAATCTATATAAAATATACCGAAAATGTCTTATAAATACGACCAAAAAACATTGTATATTTCCTCTCATCTTTATTATAAAAGACTGTTAACTAATTCATACTCACTAATAAAAAAACAGTTAAATGCATTAAACTTATTTCAAAATTTAAGCAAGTTTTAATATTACCCTAATTAACTACATAAAATTCTAGCATCATATTGATATTTACTCTCTCACTACCATTATTAAATATGAGCATATATGAAAAAAAAACATATATATATAATGCTCATTAAAACTATTAAAACTATCACAGTATCTTATAAAAAGAATTATTTTTTTTCCAAAAGGGATCTTATAATAAGAATAAAAGGGTTTTTGTTTTTTTGGGGTTAGCAGGAGGAAGTAGGTAGACTCTGTGATGTATGGATGAATATTCCACTTACTTGAATAAGGCGTATTTGACGTTGGCAACTGCCTGTCCCTGCCATAACATCTATTTAACGGACGTCCGTTTCTTTGTTCCACTTTGTAAATGTTACAAACTATGTTATTTAATGATTGTGATCTTTTATCCAAAAAAACTAATTTGGATAGATTAAAAAATAGTTAGATTAGTTATTTATAAAAAAATATGTGTTATTTTTTCTAAAATACCTATTTGAATTATTTTGATTGAAACTACCATTTGATACAAACCTTTTTAATATATGCAATCAGTAAGGTTAGTTTTGAAAAATAAGAGAGACAAAATACACTGATATTTTATATTTAAGTCTAAATTTAACTCATACTAACTCGTACATTAAGAATGGGAGGCAGTATATTTTATGGTTACGTATGCATGTTTTTATGTCTAATTAAATATATTATGTTTGTCAGGCTCAATTTGATCACAATTAAATTATTAACTCTTAAATTAATGTCTAAAATAGTTTAATGATTGATTTGATTTTCAATAGAAAAAAATTATTAAAAAATACCTGTTGAATTTCAAAATGACACAAAGGTAATTGTCAAAATATCATAAAAATAGTCAAAATAATTATAAGAATAGTCAATATTATTCCTCTTTTTTAAATTTAACCGATTTTTGTTGTTGTTATTCTTCCTCTTTGATACAATAAAAAATGAAAAGGTTTGAATTTTAGATTGAGAAAATAACGCACGGATGCCTTGTGAAAAAATTATTCATAAAAAAGGTCTTTTTTTTTACCAGCAATATTCATTAAAAAAAAAAGGTTCTAATAATACGTGGGATGTCAAAAAATCCTTACCCTGATAGTTCCCAAGAATAAAAGAGGATGGAAATAGGAAAACATTTTCCATTATTTGTTTGGTATCACTTTTGGTTCCAAAATCATTTTTCTTTGAAACAAAATTGAAACTTGTCATACCACTTAATTTATGAGAGAGTTGTAATTAAGTCTCAAAGAGGGATTTAATTACATTAAGGTTGGTTGATAACTGAAGAGTATATAATGACAAGTTCTACTGTAAGAAATGATATCTGTTTTCACTCTTTACTTGTTATTTGGATTTTAGGGTAATTATATTTTTTTTTGGGATCTAATTACAATTCTCTCTTAATTTATCCTCATAAAAACATGTAAATCCAAAATTGCCCTTGCTCCGAACCAAACGCAAATTTACTGTGCTTGTTTGGATCAGTTATTGAGGTTCTAAAAGCTCTTTATTTTTCTGATAAGCCCGTTTGGAAAATTAGAAGGTGTTTGGCAGAGCTTATAGTCATCTGATTTAAGTCCAAAAAACTGGATTGAAACGGACTTTTACGTAAGCTGATATTTGTAGCTCATAGGAGTCAAATCGGGCTTACCGTTGGAATTGTATATGTACGTGGGGTCCACCATCCAGTTCTGACCTTTCCCCTTCGTTCATTTCCCCCCATCAGCCAATTGCTATTTGGGTACCATTAGGGTAACTGTTGTTCTTTTTCTTTTTTTTTTAATTTGATTTTGTTTAATTAATTAAAAATTTAAAATTAAGCAGTAAATTAAAATATAAATTGTTTAAATATAATAATCCAAAGAGTTCAGGTTATGAAAAATAGTAGTGAGAAGTTACTCTTCTTCCATATGAATAAAATTTTTTCAATTTTTTATATTTTATTTGTTGAAAGTTAAAATATTTTAAATTATGAAAAATGTATGATATTCGTATTCTATAATAAGTAAAATTCTTATAAGTTCATTTAAAAATTTTATTTAACAAAATTTTATTTTAAAAAAATTGCCTTTTTGAGGTATCTCACATATAAAAGTTGTCTCAAGTTAAAAAAAAATATATAAAATTTCTCTTGGTAAAAAAGAAATTGTATTTTAAAAAATATATATTATTTGGTTGATGCGAGATATTCAACACCAAATGGATATCTAGGTCCAATACCAAATTAATTTTAATTCATTATATTATGTAAAATTATTTTTTAATCATGTTTCATTACTTATTAAAATGCATACCCATTTTGATAATTTTACAAAAAAATTTATTTTTACTCAATTATAATTCAAATAATTTCTTACTAATCTCACTTTTATAAATTAATTTTTCTGAATTTCAATCTAAATACAGTTCAATTTATCTAATTTAGTTTTTATCTAATTTCACTTTTCTATAATTCAAATGACCCACTATCAAACCCGATCCGCGCGAGCCATCCGGGTCAGCTTCTGTGAGAGAACGTCAGCGCGACCTGCGCGAGACGGAGCGAATTAGTGAAGGGAGCGACAGAGCAACATCCATAGGCGGCTACACCGTCCCGACGACAAAGCGGCAAACGTTCACGGCAAGGTGAGTTCTTCGCGTCCCTTTTTGTTCTGCGCCCTGAACTACTCGGCCTTTTCACTGTTTGTATTGAGGTTTTCTTTCCTCAAAGCGAACCTGGGCTGAGATTGCTAGTGAAATGAGGAAAAATTAATTTTTGGTTTGTAAAGGCTTAGTTTCCCGAATCACGAATTATAGTCACCCCTTTCAACTTTTACAAACCTTCTTGATCGTCCCCTTAGATTTTATTCCAAAATCTCGACTTTATGATTGTGCCTCTTGATCATCTACTCACATTCACCCCTTTCATGTCGTCCTCATTCCAAAATCTCTACTTACGTGCCTTGTTTTCAATTTCGTCAACTTTTACATGACTATCCTTCTGAAATTTAAATCACTTCTCATTTTTATTGTGCTGATGGTATTATAATTATGGAATACATTGTTAAGCTTACAGATTATAACAAGTCAGAATATTCAGTACTTGCCTTTTCCCCCCCCCCTTTATTTGCCTGAATTAATTCGACAGGCCTTCTTTGAAATTATTGTGAAGATAAAATTGCCCTTTTTTCTTTTTTTTTTTAGCCTTTCTCCCTTGTTCTTTCGCCACCACTGGTGTCTGCGCTGATCCCAGCTATCGGACAACTAGTGGCGGCACTGGGGCCGACCGCCAAATCGCCATCTGCGAAGCTAAAGCTTTCATCGGAGCTTCCATAAGATGTTCCAACTCTTGCTTGATTTTATCATCTAGGAAGTATGCTGGGGGCCGTTTTTCTTCTTTTTCTTTTTTTTGGCCCCGCCCGGGGGGGGATTGAGGAGTTGTAATTTACAACTCTTCCCGCAGTTTTTGGTTATCTTACAAGTTTCTCTTTTTTTTTTTGGGGGGGGGGGGTCACAGCAAGAGTTGCAAGTTCTGGAGGGGAAGTTGAGTTATACAATCTGTGCTTTCGTTTTTTCCCCTTTGGTTCATGATTCATTTTCTCTTGACTGCTATTTATTTTATTCATTTGCTTGGCGATTGCTTTGCTGTTTTGGGGTGCATCTCTGAGTTTGTTCATTGCTTTGAAAGTCTAAAATAAAAATACTTCTCACACTTCCAATGGTTGAGTATGGACATAAGGACTTCGAGAGATGGGTTATTGTTAGTGGTTCTAGAGGCGGTAGCAGAGAATGCATGTTTTTGAAACAATGCTTTCGAAAGAAAGTGACATCAAAATATTTGGGAAGCGCATTATCTTGGGAATTTTTGATTAAGTATTTACATATCTGGGGCTGGTAAATATGTGATTCTACCTCCTAAAGTTCATTGTTTTATGGAGTAGTGAATTTGTCATGCGTTAGAGAAGAAATGTAATTTATTGGTGATGCTGTATTGCCAAGTGTATGCCATGTTTTTATGATTTTGTTATGATTTACAAGTTCCCCAATTTAACATCTCAGCCTATTACACAACCTGACAGAGAAGTGCACCTGAAAGTGACAAGAAAATGGCATTTATGAAGGGAGAGCCATTGGTTAGAAAACTTGCAGTGCTGTCCAAGTACGCAGTGCTACCAGGAGCCATGATAGCTGCACTGATATACTCTCCTCCTGATTATGCATCTTCCTCCGAGAAACATGCATCTGCTACAACCAAATAGTAAAACTCATTTTACCCATAATCCTGTTTGATTTCAACTTCTTTGCACATTGGCATTTGTTAACTTTTTTTTTTTTGGGGCATGTTTTCTGCGTAATTAATTTCAGTACATTGCAATTTACGTCCTGATTTATTTTTCCATTTTAATTGTAATTGACAATAATTTTTGGGATGCGGATTGAGAGGGACAAAAATAAATGTCATGTGAAGCTCTGAGTTGACTCTACAAGGTATATGGTGGCACTACCGACATGGAGTTAGATGTTGTTTTATGTTAAACTTTGTGCTTCCTTATGCCTTCATTATCTCATAGTATTCTTCTTCATGAAATTGTCGTCCAACGTAATGGATTAATTTCATAAACTCTTTTTCTCCATATGGATGTACTTCCGACATATGGATGAACCAGACTGCAATGGTTGCCAATGGTAGTAAATATGCTGCAGGAGTTAATCTCTATATTTATATCTCAATCAAGAGTAGGTCTTTAGGCAACGTGTGTCATAACCTTGAGCAATGATTTATGGTTGGGTCACGTTAGGCAATCTGATCTCATTGTAGTTGGTTTATGCTTTTGAGAGTGTGCGCGCCTTCCTTACCATCAAGTGAGCTTTCTTCCTCAGTCCTCAATTTGTCTGATTGTTATTTACTTTATCACTTTATAGTTGCCCTTATTCTGTTTGCTCCTCACTCACGTCATGAGAAATTTGTTGGGATTAATCGATGAAGTCTCAATTTCCTTGTGCCCTCACATGCATACTTGGATTGTTATTGAGGTTATGATTAAGTTTAGCTCCCCCTTTCCTCCGTCTTGAAAATTCTCCCCCATTCTCTCTTTCATCCCAAGCCCTTGCTTTATGTGATCATGCTATATCAGTGCTTTTTGAAAGTTAAGAATTAGGATGAGTTGTTGTATTTTATTGTCAAGAAATATGTGAATTCAGCATTATATAACAAGACTTTCCCACGGCAATTCCTATAGTGATGCAGGACCTCTGAGGGGAATGGAAGAAAGCTACAAAAAGATAATGGGATTTTTTTTTTTTTTGGTGGGGGGGGGGGGTGAGGATTTTTAGAGATCCTGAGGTGAGAGTGGAGGGAAATGATAAAGTTATAGGGCTAGTCACCTGGTAAGCCTAGATTTTTAAGGTATGAATGTTATGCCCACTGAATTCCACTTGGATATTAAAGTCCTGTGCTTTTGGAAGTTTATGGGCATTTGACTATTGTGAACCACCAACAGATTCGTACGCTCTGTAATATATTTTAAGCGGGGGATTGATGGGATTTGAGAAGAAATAATTATGGTTTTATTATATTTCTAGAATATTTGAATTATCTGGATTTATTATCATTTTAGGATATATTTAGATTTATTGATATTTTAGTATTTTATTATTAGGATTAGTTGTTGTTATTTTCATTTTCATGATTATTTTAGTAGTAGATCTAGTTTTCATTCTATAGAAGACTAGACTTGGATATTGAATTTAGAAACGGTTATTTCCCTTCTTAGTTTCCCTCTTCTCTGCCCTCCCTTCTCTCTGACCTCATCCCTTCCCATTTCTCTCGTTTGTTTTACACCGGGGGTCGATACTGATACTACCTCTAGTTCTAATTATAAGAGCCAGTTGACTAATTTAAGGAGATTAAGGAAGTAAATTGAGTTAGTTATTTGTCCTAAATAGGTGTTGTCTTTCCTAAAATATCCTTGCTAATCAAGTGTATTGATTAGAACTATCATTATTAGAAAGGCTACTTTGGAAAAAAAAAAAAAGTATATATATGAGAGACAAAGTGGATTGAGATCTTATATTTAGAACCAAAATAAAAGTCAAATAAGGTCTTATATTAAGGACCGGAGGTAATATTATTCTCTGTCATTGAGGATATACAAAGTTATCTCAAATACAAATACAAAAACTGCTTGGGGCTTGATTGCGGTTGGAGAATAAAAGTGCCACATCCGAAATGTGATATTTAGTTCCAGGAATCTTGAGGAAAGGGAATGGAATCCTGCACAATTCCATCATTTCCAAGCATTTGGTTGCAAGTATAGGGTCTCTATGGTAATCCACAAATTCATCAATCATCATTCCTACCAAAAATCAAAAGAATGATGATGCACAAGCTTGCTTGCCAGAAATACCCATAGGCCTCACCCTTCTTCGTCTCCGTCAATGTTCCTCCAGTCGGCAATCCCCCCCCCCTCTCCATATTCAGTGCATCTTCGGACTCCAGCAACTAAAATATGGCCCTTCTTTGCACTTTAGCGGTTATTGTCATATAATGCAGTCAACTTGGTCTCTTCGCCAAAGGACTCAACTGTGTGTTTCCATAGTGTCTATGTGACGCAACTTTTCAACATCCTTTATGCATGCGATTAGTCATTAATGATGACCGATGTTGCTTTCAACTTTCAAATTCAACAAGTATATACTTCATGTATCTCTCTGTTTGTGGGAGGATTTTAATGTAAGAGCTTTTGCACTTTTATTTTTCTAACAATTTATATGTTCATGATAATGGCACAGGGCTATCATGGTTGCCTGGTTATGCATGTTCGCGGGATCTTTTCCATTGAATGAATAAATATGTTATGTAATAATGGCGGTGGCTAAATATTTACAAGTCTTTCCATTGTAATAGGTTTGCGGAGAGAATTTGTTTCATCTGAGTTTGACCCGTCAAACGTTTTATATATTGGGCTTCATGGAAAGTACAAGAAATGCAAGTGCTCCCGTTTATCAATTGTCGAGGGCCATATTGAATTGCTTATGACGTTGAATGGGCTGTCTTCCCGTTGGAAACAATTTATTTGAATTGGTTTGAGTGCTTTAATCTTCATGAAGTTTGGATGCGGTAAGCCGGTGGGTCCAACTTCTATGTGTTGGGATAGGAATTAGGATGCGGCTACCTCCTTAACCTTTCTAGTTGGCATCACGTACCACTGAAAAATGCTATGTGGTTCTAAAATTTTAGTTTTATCAACTAATTAAATAACTTTCATGTATCAGCTATTATTATTGTACTGAAATTCCAATTGGTCACATAATTGGACGATGGACATCAATTAGTAAGCACTGTGCACTAAGTTTTAGTGTTAGAGGATTATATGAAAGTAACTAAAACGATTTATATTTGAGTAATCGAAATCATATTAACGAATATCTAAATCTCTATTGCCAGTAATACTACTGTGGATGTGGAATGCAGCAGATATGCAGAATTGAATAAACTTACAATCCATATGCGAAAAATTCTGACATTGCACTTTCCAAGGGATTTATGGTTTTTGTCTCGTGTATAATTTTTGACGCTCTTTGGCATTCCGCTCACAAATTTATCGCGTGTAAATTTTCACGAGTAAATGCTGGATCTCAACAAAAGTATGTAAACGACAACGACGACCTTCTGGAAGCAAAACTTCTTCGATTCTAGTTTTTTTTGTTTTAACCAGAAATCAAGATTTTATTATCACGAAAAAAATCGGAAAAGTGATACATCACAACTTATTCAGAGTTAAACTGAAACAGTGCAAAACGAAGCAAAAAAAAAGAAGAAATTGTTTAAAACACAAAGGCACAAATCAGTCGATGCGCATTCAGTTTCTATTTTCTTTGAACAAAAAGGAAAAATTAGTTTGGAGGTCTTTATAACTGGCATTAGTTTTGAATCAGGTCTTCAAACTTTTTTTTTTCCTTTCCCTTTTTGTTGGATTTTTTAACTTTCTCCTGTTTATACAATTAGTCCTTAACATTATTAAATATGAATAAACACTGTCAAGAATTTCTGTCACTTCTTCTCCGTCCTCACCGGGTTCTACTGACCTCACTGTCCCTTCTCACCTTTTCGGCCATGTCCTGTCTCCTAAGAAGCAAAGAGGCTCATGATTCTGACGATGTGAGTCCAAGCAGGAGCTCATTCATCAAACCCCTGAAAACCTCCCATTCCAGCTGCATCCCCACTTGTTCATTTGATATATTGGTCTTGCCCATGATATTCTCATTACTCCGCTGAATAAGAACCCCCGGCTTCTCTCATTACTCCGCTGCTCTGACCGTGTAGTCTTGCTTCTCCAGATCATCACTTTGCCATGATATTCTAGTCCTCCACGCTACAGCTAAATGGCTTTTAAAAGGGTCATGGCACAGCTCTCACTCTTTTATCCAGGCTTCTCAGCAGCCATCTCTCCATCGTCTTGTCTTCTCGACTCTGTTTCTCGCTCCTTCCATCACTCCCTTTGATTCTGTTCCCGGCTGTTTCTCGGGTACTGTTATCATACTCCTTCACTCTATTACTAAATGAAGACTGATTCTGTTTTCTCTGACAGTTTTTCTTGATTCAAGAATTTTATTCTGCCAAAGGAGATGAGATTTTGTTCTAGTTCATGAAAAATCTTGTGAACTTTTTTTTTGTTCTATGGTACGGTTTTAATTGGCAGATGCATTCGACTTTTATTTGCTCCACCGAGGAATTTGTCGCACACTGGATCAATTCATTGACAATCCAGTTGTCGGGACACCTTGCCGCATTAGAGCAGGTTCAAGGGGAGGATGGGATTTGAAGGACGATGAGGATAGGTGGATGGTAGGGAAGAAGATGATGTAACAAAAATTTTTAACGGTGTATATTTTCACTTAATGGTAAGCACGGTTAAATGATCCAATGAAAAGGAGAAAAAAACTTAAGAGCTTAATTTAAGATTGATGCAAATTATAAAAACTTGTAAATTAGTTTTTTGAAAGAAAAAAAAATCTTAGTTACAAGTTACTATCTCTAGTTTTTAATATAAGACTTTATTTGACTTTTATTTTGGTCCTAAATATAAGACTCTAATCCACTTTGTCTCTCAAATTTATGCATTTTTTTCCAAGATAGTCATTCTAACAATAGTAGTTCTAGCCAATATACTTGATTAGCAAGGATATTTTAGAAAAGACAACACCTATTTATTATAAACAACTAACTTAACTTCTTTCTTTAATCTCCTCAAATTAGTCAACTAGCTCTTATAATTAGGATATTTTTTTAGACCAAGCATCAATCATTTAAGCACATGTATCTTTTAGTTAAAGGCAATTTGTATTAGGCATTATATTTGAATACTCCTCCTAATAGGAATTTAAATTTTAGTCCATCATGTCTTTTAAAAACTAACTTTTAAGAAAAATAGTAATATTTTTCTTAAATATTAGTGTTAACTTAATAATAAGTCGTAGGATCATTATTGGCATTTGGAGATTTCCCAATAACAGTCCAGCCAATAAAGGATCAGTGACCTGTGCGATAGGTGAAAGGTGAAAGGCCCAATCGTGGCCAATTTATCTTTTCACGCATTTTTTAAATCATACTTAAATCTCTTGGCCGGTTCGCCCGTTTGGTCTGTTAATTAAAAAATTATATAAATAATGTCTTAGATAAAACATCTCATACTGTGTGTATTTAAAAAAAAAAATCTTATATTGTGCAATAGAGAATGTTGGAAGCTCTTATCATAAGATCTTGAACGAGCAATTAACTTTCTTATGTATAACCTATTTACCACTTTGATTCTCAATATTTGTTTACACAAAAAAGTTTATCCTTGCTTTTAGCTATTTAGCCCTTGAATCGAATTGTTGCATATGGTCAATCTGTCTATTTACTGTTGTCATCCTCCTTGGTGAAAACACAATAATGAAGTAAAACCGTGCCAAACGACTATCGCCCACTGCGGTAAGTCGCCGTCGAGTGTGAGTGAGCCTCCGCAGCCCACTGCGGCGAAGGACAGAAAGCTTGTGAGCTATCTTCCCAGACTCCAGCATGGAGTGTAATGTTGACGTAGAACTAACAGAGAAGGCCGCACGAACGCCACTAGCTGAGGATAACAGAACCACAAAGAAAGTGAAGATACGAGATAAAGAAGAGCTGGTCGCAGATATGGACACAGAAGAGGAAACAGTAAGCACAGAAAAAACACAAGGATGGACCTCAGTACAGAAACAACTCTTCCAGGAAGAGACAACCAGCATCATGGAAGACGACGCGAACGAACAGCTACCAAGTATCCCCCAGGTGGAGGAACCCGAGGATGCCAGATTGGACGAGAACCAGCAACAAGGGGAGGAACAAAAAGCCCCCTCGTTCAAGGAAAAGTTACTTGGAGGCATGGGCAATGGCGGAAGCGCAAGCAAACACTGGAGGAAGGAGCTTAACCTGGAGCAGGGGGACGTGGTTATTGACATAGATGGCCTCATCCCAGTCATAAACTTCTCGCGACGTGTTAGGGAGGTCATGGAGGGCTGCATGGAACATGCAGTAGTAGTGAAAGTACTTGGCCGCTACATACGACCAGATATCCTCTTCTCAAAGATCGCTAGCTTATGGAGACCCACCGGAGACTTTAAACTGACTGAACTAGAGGGTGGCTGTTTCATGGTAATGCTCGAAAATGAATTTGACTATCAAAATGCTTTGCTTGGAGGACCCTGGGTGGTACAAGGTCACTACCTAACAGTGCACCCATGGCAGCCTACGTTCAGTCCGCTCAACCTGGAAATCAAACAAGTATATGGCTGGGTTCGGTTACCAGGTTTACCTTACCATTATTACCACAAGAATGTCCTAAGAGCTATAGGAGAAGTAATTGGACAGGTGCTGAGGATTGATTACAACACGGAGGGAGTGGACAAGGCTCGCTATGCTAGATTGGCCGTCAAACTTGACTTAACCAGACCCCTCGTCTCAATGATAAAGCTCGATGGAGTAACCCAATATGTTGAGTACGAAGGGCTTCCAACCATATGTTACTGCTGTGGCCGCTATGGTCACCTCGAAGCCTCATGCCCCCAAAAAGTTCAGAAGCAGCAACCCCCAGCGACAAACCAGCGGCCCCCGGCGAACAACCAACCACAACCTGCAACAATAGCAATGAACACAGAGAGAGTGGCGCGTGAAGGTAGAGCGCGTGAAGGCCAAGTCTTCGGCTCCTGGATGAAAGCTCCAACAAGACACTGGCGAACAGGCAGAGGGGACCGAAAGGAGACTGACAGGAATCATCAAAAGAGTATAAATGACAACAATAGATTTGAGGCTCTAGTTACCTCGGAAGACGCAGGTTTACATCAGGAAGGAAATGTAGAGACGGCGGCAAACCTCAGCAAAGAGGCTGCTATGCCATCTGTGGCTCGAGAAAAGGACAGGCTAGAAGGACAGCCAAAACCAACAGCTCCCAACAGTAAGAAGCCAGCTAGAGGGAACACCTCCAAAGGAGTCAAATCTGCAAAACCTTCAACTGAAACAATTTTTGATGCCCCTGCGTATATAGAGTCTCGAGTTCCAACAACACTGCTTACAGGGAACCACTCAGCCGTTTCTCTCACTGATGCACGAATGCCCACGACTACTACTAATAAAAATGTGAGCAGTCATTCTGGGCTATCAAAGGCAAAGCCCATTCGGTATACAACAGCAGGCAAGGAAAACTTAAAGCCCAAACCGCCGGATCCCATCATTGGGAAAAGTGGGTTTAAAATTCAATCGCCAGTCAAAATAAAAGATTGGAGGCCAAAATATAGGGACGCTATTGGAACACCATCGGAGGAATTAACTAAAGCCTTAACTGAAGCTTTGGGCTCGCCTGTTCCCTCTGATGAAGAGACTAGCTATAAGGAAGCCATAGATAGTAACTTTGATGAAGCTGCAACTCCGGAACCCTCTGAAATGGAGCACTAACCTTGTTCTTTTACTTATGAATACCTCCTACTTTGTATGGAACTGCCAAGGGGCAGCATCTAGTAAGTTTTACAGGGTCTTAAAATCCTTGCTGCAGGGATATAAGCCAGACGTAGTGGTGCTAGTGGAACCAAGGATATCAGGTGCAAAGGCCGACCAAGTCATACGTAAGATAGGATATCAGAATTCCCACAGAGTTGAAGCCGTGGGATACTCAGGTGGGATATGGCTGCTATGGCGTGATCATCTGACTATAGAGATTGTCTCTAACCACAAACAATTCATCCATACATACATACAACGAGCTAATGAGACGACAGCTACTGCTTTCACAGCAATCTATGGAAGCCCCAATGCTTCAAGACGGGAGCACCTTTGGCGAGATCTTTTAAAACTTCAGGTGAGTGATGATGAACCGTGGCTTATAGCTGGTGACTTCAACGCCACACTAGCCGAAGGTGATAGAAAGGGTGGTAGTCGAAGGAATCAAGGGGGCTGTAGCAAATTTCAGAATTTTGTTAAGGAGGCTGGATTAATTGATCTTGGCTTCTCCGGCCCAAAATTCACCTGGCAAAGAGGTGGTTTATTGGTAAGGTTGGATAGGGCCTTAAAGCAACAAAACATGGGTCACTATGCAGCCCAACACGGCAGTAATGCACCTTCCAAGACTACAATCTGACCATAGGCCCGTTTTAATAACACACATGAAGTCGGATATAAGGGACAGACCGCCTTTCCGATTTGTAGCAGCCTGGCTACTCCATCCTGAATTCAGCGAATTAGTCAAAAAGGCCTGGAGTTCAAACAAGAGCCTAGTAGATAATATAGAAGCCTTCACCGAGGAAGTGCAGCGCTGGAACTCCAACGTCTTTGGTCATATTGGACAGAGAAAAAAGAAACTAAGATGTCGAATCACAGGGGTCCAAAAGATACTTGAGCAGTGCCCTTTCTCACAATTTCACAGCGATTTAGAGCGAAGACTCCTTACAGAGTATGAAGATTTGTGTTTGAGGGAGGAGATACTCTGGCTGCAAAAAAGCCGAAGTCAGTGGATTTGCGATGGTGACCGTAACACCAAGTTCTACCACACCAAGGCTCTAATCAGGCGGCGCAGGAATCAAATTTCGCTACTTAAAGATGAAAATGACTACTGGGTATCGGATCAAGAACGACTCAGAACGATGGCAACTCGGTTCTATCAGCGCCTCTTTTCTTTAGAGGCAGGACATACTCTGAGACAAAGTTATAGGTACACAAACCTGTTTCCACAAGTCTCTGAAATTTTGCTTGACTCAACCGTCTGTCCAGTTGCCAAAGAGGAAGTTAGAAGTGCGCTATTTGAAATGAGTCCACTAAAGGCACCAGGGGCTGATGGGCTCCATGCTTTATTCTTCCAATCTCAATGGGGGCTTATTGGTGGCACCCTTTTTGACGAGGTACGGAGCATCTTTGAAGGAAAACAAATTGCTGCCTGGTTGAATAGGACAATGATTGCACTTATTCCAAAGATGGACCAACCGCAAACGCTCAAAGAGTTCCGCCCGATAAGTTTGTGCACCACGGTCTACAAGCTGATCGCCAAAGTTGCGGCCAATCGCCTCAAAAATCTGATGCCCACCTTTGTGCTACCGCAACAAGCGAGCTTTATTAAAGGGAGAAACATTACAGATAATATCATAATAGCTCAAGAAGCCATCCATTCAATGCGACGTAAGTCAGGGAAAATCGGCTGGATGGCAGTCAAAGTGGATCTTGAAAAGGCTTTTGATAGACTCCGATGGGACTTCATTGAAGATACTTTGCGAGAAGCAAAACTACCAGAGGACTTCATTTCTCTAATCATGAGATGTATAACTTCAACAAGCTTGCAGGTTATCTGGAATGGTAAACCGAGTGAGGCTTTTAAGCCACAACGAGGGATTAGGCAAGGCGACCCTTTATCACCGTACATCTTCGTGTTGTGCATGGAGAGATTGTCACAGGCCATCACCAAAGAGGTAGGAAACAAAAACTGGCATCCTATTCGCATGGGCAAGAAGGGACCACCATTATCCCACCTTTTCTTTGCGGATGACTTAATCCTCTTCAGTACGACAGAGAAGGCACAAGTTGACCTTATCCATGGGATCTTAAATGAATTCTGTGAAGCCTCTGGGCACAAAGTGAGCAGCTCCAAAACACGGATCTATTTCTCCAGAAACGTGAGTACCCAAGTAGCAAATGGTATCTGTGAGCAATTGGGATACCAGAAAACAACACATCTTGGGCATTACTTAGGGGTACCTCTGCTGCACGACCGAGTAACAAAAGATACATATAGGTATATTGTGGAGAAAGTGCAGCGGAAACTATCGGGATGGAAGGCTCGCTCTTTATCCTTAGCCGGGCGGATCACTCTGGCCCAATCAGTACTTTCTACGGTGCCACTATACGCGATGCAGACCACTAGAATTCCGACATCAACTAATGCGAAGTTGCAAAGCATCATCAGAAACTTCATATGGGGATCAAGCGAAAACCATAAAGGCATCTCCCTAGTGCGATGGAAAGATGCCTGCCAGCCAAAGGAAAATGGAGGATGCAGCATAAAAGATTTAGCTCTACACAACTCAGCTTTCCTTATCAAATTAGTGGTGGCAGTGATGTCAAAACCAGAATCTCTATGGGTAAAAGTGCTCCGAGCAAAATACAATTGGCAACCAAACTCAGACCAGCTGCCCAAAGCTAAAACTGGCTCCTATTTGTGGAAGAGCTTGGTTTCGGTTTGGGAGGAAGCTAGCTCGGGCATCAAATGGAGCAGTGGGAATGGAGGCCAAACTCGTTTCTGGGCAGACTACTGGATTGGTAATCAGGGTCCGCTAAAACGCCTTACCTCTGCACCCCTGGAAGATTATGATTTACAGGCAACAATATCCCAGTTTATAACCCCAAATGGCCAGTGGGACCGGAGCAAGTTCGAGAACAAACTCCCCCGAGAGACTGTAGAAGAAATCATGGCAGCGCCAGTACCCCGACGAACTGATCCACCAGCAAAGTGCTATTGGCACCTAGAAAGAAGCGGTGAAGTTTCAGTTAAATCAGCCTACACCCTGCTCACTCAGAATGATTTAAATGAAGAAGAACGTAAATGGGTGTTAGCATGGAGATGGCCAGGACCGAACAGAATTAAAACATTCCTATGGCTAGCCATAGGAGGAAGGCTGCTCACTAACAGCGAGAGAACCAGACGACACATGACGAGCAACGCCTTCTGCGGAATCTGCAACTCAGGCACGGAAGACGTGGACCATGTTCTAAGACGATGCAGGCTAGCGGTGGAATGCTGGAAGCTAATCACGCCTTCCTCACACCTGACACGCTTCAGCATGATTAATCTTTCAGACTGGTTTCAGGAAAACCTCAGCTGTAGGAAGACCAACCCTCAATGGTGTGTCTTATTTGGAGTTATATGTTGGAGGTTATGGAACGCTCGCAACACCCTTATCTTCAGCAACGAGAGGACCCACAGTTTCCGTTTGATCAATGAGGCCATTTCTTTCACTGATCACATTATTACTACCAAGGACTTCCGTAGACAACTGAACTGCCTCTGAAGTCTAGTGCCCTGTCTTTCTTTTATTTCCTTTGTCGTTTTTGTTGGCTTCGAGCTGTAGGCTCCTTGTACATATCTTTGTTTTAATGAATTCCTTTTTACTCAAAAAAAAAAACACAATAATGAAGCAAAGTAACAAGGTGGGTTCACTCGTAAACTGTTATTTCTAAATTCTGAGTTGCTTTTCCAAGTTTAAAGCATTGCACCCCTGCTATTTGCTACTCTGTGTGAAGTCCATGAAATGAGGAAATCTCATTAAATTTAAGATTTTATTGCTCATTTCTATAAATAAAAGGGGAAATCACAAATAAAGACCCTTGAATTAGCAAAATCACTCTATGGTCACCTGAATATGCTAAATTACTATGAGGGACCCGGTCTCAAATTGTAATTATGAAATCATGGCCAAATTACCAAAATACCCCTCTTTAATTTTTTTTTTTTTAAAAGAAAGCCATTGCCTCACCGGAATCCGGCCACCGGCGCCGAAGCTCCGACGGCCGCTTCCGGCCACTGTAGGCGGCCGGACGCCGCGGTCCGGCGCCGGCGGCCGCTTCCGGCGGTCTTCCTTTGTTTTTTTTTTTTGAAACTGTTTTTTTTTTAAATTGGGGGGAAGTGAGGTTGGGGGGATTTGATCCCCCAACCTAATGCTTCCCAAAATAAGGAATGACCATTGAGCCAACAAATTTTTGTTAACATTATGATGCAAAAAAAATATAAGTTAACTCATTTACTCTTGTTCCAGGTGATAACAACAATACATTTGGAAATAACAAGTTCTGATTGTAAAATAACACGTCTGGAATAAAAATTTAACAATATGTTTTTTTATAACAATAAATTTTGTTGCAGGCAATAACAACAATACATTTAAAAATAACAAGTTCTGATTATAAAATAACAAATTTGGGATTAAAATTTAACAACACGTTTTTTTTATAACAACACACTTTATTTCAAGTGATAACAACAATACATTTAAAAATAACAAGTTCTGATTATAAAATAATAAGTTTGGGATTAAAATTTAACAACATGTTTTTTTTATAACAACACACTTTGTTTCAAGTGATAACAACAATACATTTGGAAATAACAAGTTCTGATTATAAAATAACAAGTCTGGAATTAAAATTCAACAGCACCTTTTTTTTTATAACAATTAATTATTTTATACTTTTGGAAAATAAATTATTTATAACTTATAAAAGTACTTGTAATCTATTTAATTTGCTAAAAAAATAATTTTTATCTCCAATTTATAATCAGAACTTGAAGTATAATTTTTTATAGATTAAAAATACTTTTTTATTGTTCAAATTTATAAATAAAATTTAGGGAAAATGGCAACACACTTTTTTAATTTTTTTAAAAAAATTTTTAATCTATATATCTATACAACTTATTATAAATCAAACTACTTCTTATAAATTATAAATAGTACAATTTATTGTGGATTAAAAATACTTTTTGACTGCTTAAATTTATAAACGAAATTTATCTCTAATTTATAATTAAAAATACTATTTTATTCTTTAAATATAAAAACTATTTTTAATATTTAAAGAATGAAATAATATAAAATTTATACTATGATTAATAAATCAAAAATGCCTTATTATAAATACTTTATAATTTATAAGAAGTAGTTTGATTTATAATGAGTTGTATAGATATACAGATTAAAAAGTATTTTTTTAGAGAAATAAATATATTAAAAATATTTTTTATAAGTTATAAATAATTTATTTTTTAAAAGTATAAAATAATTAATTGTTATAAAAAAACGTGTTGTTAAATTTTAATCCTAGACTTATTATCTTATAATCAAAACTTGTTATTTTGAAATGTATTGTTGTTATCACTTGAAACAAAGTGTATTGTTATAAAAAAAACGTGTTATTAAATTTTAATCCCAAACTTGTTATTTTATAATCAGAATTTGTTATTTTTAAATGTATTGTTGTTATTACCTGCAACAAAATTTATTGTTATAAAAAAAATATATTGTTAAATTTTTATTTCAGACGTGTTATTTTACAATCAGAACTTGTTATTTCCAAATGTATTATTGTTATCATCTGGAACAAGAGTAAATGAGTTAACTTATATTTTTTTTTGCATTATAATGTTAACAAAAATTTGTTGGCTCAATGGTCATTCCTTATTTTGGGAAGCATTAGATTGGGGGATCAAATCCCCCCAACCTCACTTCCCCCCAATTTAAAAAAAAAACAGTTTCAAAAAAAAAACAAAGGAAGACCGCCGGAAGCGGCCGCCGGCGCCGGAGCTCCGGCGGCCGGCCGCCGACAGTGGCCGGAAGCGACCGCCGGAGCTCTGGCGCCGGTGGCCGGATTCCGGTGAGGCAGTGGCTTTCTTTTAAAAAAAAAATTAAAGAGGGGTATTTTGGTAATTTGGCCATGATTTCATAATTACAATTTGAGACCGGGTCCCTCATAGTAATTTAGCATATTCAGGTGACCATAGAGTGATTTTGCTAATTCGAGGGTCTTTATTTGTGATTTCCCCTAAATAAAAAAGCATGACTTGGGATTTGGGAACAAGTTGAACGGTTGAAGGGAGGAGGCTGAGATGGGATCTGGAGTCCTGATCTTGCCAGCTACTAATGTCAACGATGATGCCTCTTAAATAAATGAAGCCAGTGCGGCGATTCTCTCTCTCTCTCTCTCTCTCTCCCTCCCTCCCTTCCTCCCTGCCTTGTATCGACTATCGACCCAATCTTCCATTTCCACCTAACCATCATCTTCTCCGGGAACAAAATCTGTCTCTCTCTCCTTCCCTCACTCGGATGACAGAGATCACTCACCTGAGCTCACACCTCATCGAGCTCATCCTCTCCTTTCTTCCTATCCCCTCTCTTATTCGCGCCTCCACTGTCTGCAAGCTCTGGTACTCCATTATCTCCTCCCCCACCTTCTCTTCCATTACCCACCCTCGCTCCCCCCATAACCAACCCTGGTTCTTCCTCTACGGCTTCCACAACATCTCCTCCAAGAACAATCAGTCCTTTGCCTTCGACCCCGTCTCCTATCGTTGGCTTCGCCTTCCCACCTTCTCCGCCCTCCAGCCCCAACAGCAATCCATCACTTCCTTCATCGGAACTAATGGCTTTTTCTTCACTACTGCTCCCAAATTCTGTTACGCTCGAACCCTTAATCCTCTCTGGCGTGCCACTCCTCCGCTCCATTTTCCCCGGACTAACCCTCTTTTGGGTGTTTTCACTGATGGCAGTGATTCCTCCCCTAAGTTTATTGTTGTCGGTGGCGTGAAGTTTATCGGGAATTTGGTTGACATTGAGGAGCGATTAGATTTGGAAATTTACGATCCTCGTTCGGACTCTTGGGAGCTTGGTCCTCCTTTGCCGGCGGATTTTAGATCTGGCAATTCGTCGTCGTCGTTGTCGTCGGCGTTGTTTGGAGGGAGATTTTACGTGCTTGGGATATCTTCGTGCTTTATTTCCTCATTTGATTTGCGTGAACGTGTTTGGAGTGAGGTTCAGACGCTGAGGCCTCCTGAGGTTGTTTTCTCGTTCTTAATTGCGTGCAGGGAAGTGCTTGTTTTGGCTGGTATTCGTAACGCACCTCTTGGACCGTCCTTTAATTTGTGGAAGGTCGATACAAAGACGATGGAGTTAAGTGAGATTTCAGTGATGCCCCATAGTTTACTTTACAGCTTGTTTGATAGTGATGAGGACGACAACTTTGCAAGCCTGAAATGCGTGGGGTTGGGGGATTTTATATATGTTTTCAATGAAGATTATCACAGGGTATATCCAGCTTGTCTTTGTGAGATTGATAGCAAGTCTGGCAGGTGCAATTGGAGAGGAGTGCCCCCTTTGCCATTGCCTGTGAACAAGTTTCACAAGGTCACTAGCTTTTGTTCAACTGTTTCACTGCATAGTATTCTGGGTGAACGAGGACATCCTGCCCTTCTGCAGTCGGCCTGACTGTTCATTCCTCTACCACGGATCCATCGTATGTTAACCATCCTTCCTATAGTATTACTATCATTATGTTTTTGGGGCAGATTATTTCCTCCCGCTTATTTATCTGAATTAGCTGTTTAATTTGAATCTATTTTTGTTTAAAGTACAAGCTTCGTGTTTGCTGTGATCATGAATAACTTCGCACTTCTAATCGTGCTATCTTAAGTGATAAGAACCTCATGGGTCCTGTGCGTATCATATTTTATATTTATATCACATACTGCAACTTAGAGATAAAGTCAAGTGTTTCGGCTAGTCAAATAGATGCGAGCCACTTATCTGGCGTCCTCTTTAAATAGAGGTTGATGCGTCATAGAGAGAGTGAAAAAATCTTATCACAAGTCAGAGAAGATATTTTGCTCAGTAGGATAAGGCTTGTTTAAGGCTTGTTGTCGTTGTTGTAAGTCATAGAAGATATTGTCAAGTTTATGTTTTCTTGAGGAACTGGTAGTGTTTTAGAAGGATGTTATTGGTTGGGTCCAAGACAACCAGAAGGAGGGTATTTGAAGGTATTGTTTTCTTGGCTAAACTTCATCCAGAGACAGTACATTGCTTAATGGACTTGTTTCTTTTGTGGAATGAGATTTAGGGTCCTTTTCAAATTGAATTTGTTGTGAAGTATTATATCTTGTCAGTCTTATATTGGTAATTGAATAATCTATGTACTTCCATGAGTGCTTTTGGAGGAAAAACATGTACTCAGGTCCATGTTGACATTTGTAGCAATTTGAGATTTAAGCAGTTATTAATGGCCCACAGCCACGTTTTCTATGTGTGTATATTTTCTTCATTTTACACGGAATATGTCTATGCGTTTTCCCCACGGGAAAAGAATGCTCATAAAACATGAGGCAGTATTGGGACGAAATAGTTTTCATCTTGAGAAACATGTTATCTATTTCATCTTTCATCATTTTTTGCCGGTTGGGGGTCAACAATATTGGTGCCACTAAATCCATGGCAGGCATGTTCGGCAGCATACCTTTGATAAAATATTTAAAGAAGTGCATGTTTATGTTATGATTGCAATGTATTAACAGAGTAGTCAAAAGTTTATAATTAAGTAAAAGGTTTTATAGTTTTGTCTGTATTTGACTTCGTCCTTTCTCTTCCCTAACTAAACAATCATCTGCAAAATCTTGGTATCTCCTTAATACCGAAAGTCATGGGAATTACTTGCGTTAATAGAGAGCCTGAGGAGTCAGAGACATGATTCATGTTTTCATACTAGTTCCAATGTGGTCGCTATTGAATCTTTGTCCTTCTACTAGAAGGCAAGAGGCATGAAGTGCATTTTCCCTATCTTCTTTTTTTCACTTTTCTGTGTATTGTATAATTTATTGAGGAGACCTACCTCTCTGTTATTGATTCACTAATGGCGTCTGATTCCGTGCTTTCAACAGAAAAAATTATGAAGCAATTCCTTGGGCAAACACTAAAGCATGGGTTGGGATAGCCATATGTTCAAGAATATATAGATGCCTGCTACTCCAACCTTGTTCACTGTTCATTCTCATCTCACGAGTCCAGAAGCTCTCTTTCAACAATATATACAGTGGATGAAACCAGAGTTGCGTTTGTATATGCCTTGTCTGTCTGGGAAATAAATGGCTATTATTAGTGTTCTTAACTGGTATGTAAATGTATTTAGCAAGTGAATTATATTAGTTGTAAATTACGATGTTGGGCTATTATGTTTACAGTATTAGCAGTGTTTTTATTTCTTTCTTTCCAAGCAACTTGGCAAGCTTAGCTAGGTGAAGGTTCTGCCCTGGTAAACTTCTGTAATGTTTTGAATTACTTCATTGCATGTAGAAACATTGTGTATCCATGTGTTTTTCGTAGCAAGCAAATTGATGTATGACCGGTCAGCTGAGGTCTTTTGCACGATAAAGTTAGTCGTCCTGCGTGTGGATTCTTCGGTTTATAAATTGAAGATGCAAATGAACGCATGGCCTGGTGAATTGAAGCACACATGGGTTCAGGGAGATTAATGGAACATTTTGTCCGAGTGACCTTGTTTGGATAATGGCGAGTTAAAAACATCCTTGCCAATCACCAAGGAAGAGGTGGTTGCGTTGTGCAGGATGAGAGCACTCATTTGTTTTCTGTTATTACTACTTGCAGTTTTTAATATAAAAGTTTTTTATATTTATTTTAATCTTAAATATAAGATTTAAATTTATTTTGTCTATCATGTTTATCTTTTTTTTTTCAAGGTAGTTTTTATAATAGTGATAGTTTTAACTAATATACTTAATTAATAAGGACATTTTAGAAAAAATAACACCTATTTACTACAAATAACTAATTTAATTAATTTTTTTAATTTAATTAAATTAGTCAACTAGTTCTTATATTAAGAATTGCAAGTAGTATAAAAATTAGTTTGACATTTGATCTAGTTTTAAATATAAAATTCTAATTTTTTTTTATATTTATTTATTTTTTTAAAGTAATCATTATAATAGTTGCATGTGGCTGATATATATAATTAGTAAGAGTGTTTAAGAAAATAAAGAGTGTTTAAGGAAATAACTAACTAAATTAATTTTCTTAATTTACTTAAATTAATTAATTAGCTTTTATATTAATGATTAAAGATGGTATTATGTGCAGTCCTAAATACAAGGGTTAATTGACTAATTTAAATAGATTAAGAAAATAAGTTAAGTTAGTTATTTGTAATAAATATGTGTTATCTTTTCTAAAATATCCTTATTAATCAAGTGAAAAAAAATCTATAAATGTGAGAGATAAAGTGGATTGGGATCTTATATTTAGTATTAAAATAAAAATTAAATGAGATATTATATTAGTGATGGAAGGTAGTGTGTTTGTGCCGCTAGTGCTGCATCTGTATCTGCAACGATGAGGTCCTGCTTAGCAAAATGTAACGGCCAATCCTCTTTACGTCATGAACTGTAGTAGTCTTTAAGTGGACATGCGGTATGGTAAATCCAATCTCTTCAGCGCCACGAGAGAGGAAGAAACCTTCCGAAAGCACCTGCAAGTTTCAAGAACAAGACCAAGCACAAAGAATTGAACCAATTATTGCGAATTTGTGGTTATTAACAATTATAACCATATCTGGCATCTGCCTCTACAAAGCATCCACGTAGATGGAAACTTTTGCTTGCTTGCAGCTTCGAAAGCAACAAATGAATATGGTTTCACGATGGGACCCTCTCAGGCCTTTTCTCTCCGTTTTCGGCGTCCCACCTCAGCCAAGCCCTCATGCCCTTTACAACACTTGCCGTTGATAGATCCGTCACACGCATAAAACACTGCGGCCAGGTCCAACGCTGCCGTTTTGGATGCAAACTGAGGGGAGTTGATTTTTGTTTTTTGTTTTTGTTTTGAAGTATTTTTTTTTTCAATAGGATGGAGTGTTTTAAAATAATTTTTAGTACACTTACCACACTAAAAGATTTTTTAGAAACATCTGTGGGAATTGAAAGACGCGCAACGGAAGATAAATTTTAAAATTTTCAATCCCTTGCTCGGATCTACCGATTGTGTTTAAGTCAAGTAGTAAGAAGTATTATTACCTTCGATGTTTGGTTTCTTGGCGGCTCGAGGATTCCGCCATTCAGGATGTCTCTGCTCGCCTCTTTTATCGCTCGAAGTCGACAACTTTGGTCGGCTTCCTCTACTGGTATCCACACGAACAACTTTCCAACCACGAACGACGTGCTAGCGCCTTTGTCCGTCTAGGGTTTTTCGAAGAATCCATCCTCCCTTCTCTATTTTTGGCCGTCTCTTATCTGCAAGTGCTTTTACTCTCATACCCAAAACCCTAGCTCCTAATATCATATATATAGGATGCTATAGGTATTATGAATGATATTTAATTTTAAAATTAATCCTAAATTAATTCCGAAATTAATACAATATCAAATATTGCCTAATTAGATAAGAGAACAATTAAATAAATATGGTTTATATTAAATCCGTCTCACAGATTTAATTCACCTATTTATTTAATTCAAAATAAAGATATGACGGAATTAATTTATATAGATCTAATTTATCCTTATAAATTAAATATAACAATTAATATCTCTTATATTTATATAATATGTATATATATATACGAATTTATATATATATATACACACATCCACCCTATATTATTCATTGAATCTGGACATCGTAACTAGTGTTGGGCTATTTTGTGTGCGACCCTGTAGGCCTATATGAAGTTGGCAGTGGGTCATTAACTATAATGACTCACAAGTCGTAAGCGGTCTCTAGCAAGACATTACGACTACCCAAATCATATGAGGATCGTTGAACGATATAACCTTTCATACAACCATATCACGTCCCTTTTGTCACACGACATTTTGGTCATGGATGAGGCATGAAGAACGTCATCCTCCTATTCATAACCGTTACTTTCTCGATCCCTGAGTAGTCTGAGTATAGAAACGGAACTACCTTTCCATTATAGTATGGCCATACATTTCTCAGACTTACTCATCGAGGGGCCCAGTAATATCTCTCTACGAATGTGAGGGACAAATTCCATCTTGACCATTCACATTCCTCCGTATGAAAAACCACTAAGCCTGAACATAGTCTTTATGATCACTCGGTCAAAAGTGACTTTTGACTAGGTCAAAGCTGAGCGTTTCTCATGTAAGAATCCATGATGATCTCAGGTCAAAGGGCACAGTGACATGGTTTGTATATGAGAGAAGCTTATGACTTAACCCATACAGCTCTCTCATAGCGGGTCGGTCCAATACCTTGTACTCTTACATGTGCCTATGACTTTAATTTACATCTCTATATATCTTTAAAGTCATACTGGTCTTATTTCATCTCTGCTCCCACATAGATGACCGACCAGGGACATTTAGGATAAATCATGAGTTATCCAATGATAGTCATCACAGTAAACATGCAAATAATATGATAATATAATTAATAAATTCATAAATCAACAATGTTCATAACACAATGATTGGCCCCTAGGGCACA